CTCTCAAGAATAGGAGAGACTCTAAATTTAATTTACAGCTTAAATCTCAGTCTCTGATGTTTTCCCCCAAAGCAAGATTTCCCCAAAGCTAAGGATGCTGATGCTCCCGTTCAATTTTCCCTTTTTGAAGATGGTGACAGCAGAGGGGCAAACCAGCCCCTCTTACTGGGAAGGGCCTTAACCATACCACCTCTCTTTTTTGTACCAGCTTTACCATTATTCTGAGTAGATCTTTGTTATGGGAAAATAATGGGTGGAAGAAAGCACTCAAATATAATAAAAAAACTGAGAATCTGTAAGTGTAAAACCCCTCCATGTTCTCAGACTCTGCCACAGGAGCATCCACTCACTTCTCCAAAGAGCAAGCCCCAGGGGCTGGCCTGAGAAGACCTGCAGTGAGTCCCAGGGCTGCTCTGAAAGCACCTGGCAGAGCTCCTCTGTTCCTGTGTGCCAGAGTGTGCACAAAGCTCTAAAGGAGCTGGGTCTTGATTGTGTCTCAGGAATTCTAAGCCATTTGTTATACTGCCCGATAGCCTCCTTAGGGTGTGACATTAATTTGTGATTACACCTGGTGCTGCTTTCCTATTGTTAGTCCCATTATTCCCGGGCATGCCTTTGGCTAAAGCTTTGTTGGTGGCAGTTTCTGGGAAGCAAATCGAACCCTCGCTGGCCGATGCCCAATTTGGACAAAGCCAGGGCAGCTCTGCCCTGCTCAGCTGTGCGAGGGGCTGCCTTTCACTCCTAGCTGTGCACCCTCCCAGGCTCCTGGCCCGCATCCAATCCAGATAAGAAATGCCTGAAAATTGTTGCTGTTAGCCAGCCATTCTGTGACCTGCACGAAGAGTGAATTGACCTCGGGACTAGTCTCGGCACACGGCACACAGCCGTCTGCCCACACGCCGTGGCAGCCGAAAAGCCTTGGTACTCACACCAAAGGCTGGCAGGAGAAGTATTTTCTTGGCAGCTGCTCCTCATGGATGGGAGGCAGCAACAAGCTGATTCGCAGGAGCTGCCTGCTGTCCCTAACAAGATCTTTATGAGGTGTTAATGTAAATTGAGTTATTTTACATTGAAACCAATTGCGGGTGATTTTCTGCACTACGATCTGTGGCAAAGGGGGTATTTACTGGTGATATCTTGTGGTGGTAGGAACAGGAGAGAGCCCTTTTCCCCTACACTTTTGTCCCCAAATGTTCTCTTTTCTGTGGTGCTGGGCTCTGCTGAAGCCACTCTCCTTGCAAGGAGGACCAGCAATGCCATTCAGCTATGGAGATGATGCAGGACATCTTCCTGCCTGCTTCCTAGGTCTTCCTGTGGTGTACAAGCCTTCCAGAAGGCTGCACAGGCCCTTCCTTCAAAATTATTTTCAGTAGTATGTGGAGAAATTTGGAAGGAGTGTAGCCATGGAACCGAAGCTGAGGTTGCCCATGATGGACATCATCATTTAAACACCATCAGGCCATAATGCATGGAACTAATTTTACCATGTACTGGGCTTTAAGGGCTTTGGGTAACAAGAAAAGCTTCAGTCTTAGTAATAAAAAAATGCCAAGGAGGGGATCCTGGTTTAAACTTGAAGGGCTCTTTCTGCCTGGGGATGGGAGCAGCTAATCTTAACACCATCCTGCAACTTGTTTCTGCTTTATTAGCCACATCTGTGGCCTGTGAAATTCTTCTTGGAAAAATGGGAACCCATCGGGTCGATGGAGATGTGAGAGATTTACAGAAGTGTGCTTTGTATCTGCACATTGACAAGAGTATGCCCCCTGGAGTCCCCAGGCTTTTTTGTTTTCCCCTTAATTCTCAGAATTCCTCAGCATATCTTCTTCTGCCTGAATCTCACTAAATTACTTTCCTGCAGCCCTGTATCTTAGAGCTGGGTTTTTGTCTTTCTGGAAGCTGGGGTTTCCATTTTAGGCACTGAGTTTCTAGTTGTACATCTAAAGAGAAATTATGTTCTCATCAGAGGCATTCCCCATCCCGGCCACAAGCGTTTCGTGTAGCAGTTTAGGCAGGCACCCAGGCTTTCTGGAATCCCTCAGGAGAGCTCCTGGTTGATGGCAGCTAACCCAGACACTGAGGGTCCCATCAGCAAGTGTAGCTGGCTCCTCCAATCAGGACAAGTACCTGGCTGAGAGACAGGCCTGCTGTTACTCTTGCTGCTGACAGGCGACTCTCATGGTCAGAGGGCTTTCATCTCCAAGTCTTTGAACTGGCAAGTATTTTCCATAAATGGAGTAGAGTTCTAGGTGTGAGTTTTTAGGGTCAGAAATCTTCTCAACGAGGTCCAAGCAGTCTTCAGGTGGTGCTGAAGAAGCCTGAGCTAGGCTGGCCAAAGGTACCAGCTGCAACTGTCACAGAAATTACCTTGCATCCTCCCTAATGCTTCCTTTAAAGGGCACAATGATTCAGTACCCTTCTCTCTGGTGTAGCAGAGCTCTCTTCAGCAGGTTGATCTGAGAAGCTGCTAATGACTTGTCACCATGACCGTGGCTGGGGAATGGAGTCCCTCTGTCCATCCTGTGTTTCTAGAACACACATACATCCTTTTTCTTGCATCTTCTTCCCCCTCAACTGTTCGGAAGACTCATGACCACTGTGGGGTTTTGAAAATAAAATTGTACCTTCCTGATTTCCTCTAGCTCTGACTGAAGCACTGATTGACAGCATTAAGGTAACTTGTGATGCTGACTAAGCTCTTTTTTCCCCCCCCTAATATTAGTATTGCTTAAGTGAAAATTGTTTACTGCTGATTTCTTGCCAATAGAGTTACAGCTGATACTGCTTCAAAGGTGCTGCAATGGTATCTTGGGTGATCAGATGAACATGGTAATAATGCTGGGAGGTACTTGACTGAGAGCCAAATACTGCTTTTGGAAATATTAAAATGATCAGGGCACCTAAAGAAAACAAACACCCTTCCCAGCAGTGGTAACATGTTCTAAACAAATGCATTCTGCAATAATGGGACACTTGTGCAGACCAATGCAACAGCCCCAATTTCTAAACTGCTTGGGAAAGATGACATGATGTTGGTTTAGGCTGAGAATAAATATGTGGGAGCCTACATGAGTTTATATTTGGCTAATTTTTTGGAGGTCATCTGCGAGGATGAAGCCCTTAAACTCTCTCTGGGGAAAGGTACCACGTTACTCCCCCATTCCATCAGCCCTCCCTGCTGCTGCTGAGCACAGCCCAGGTCAGCTCACAGCTCTTGCTCCTACCTGGGGTATTGTTAAAAAGCTGAAAGGATATAAAACCTTTGCAAGACATTTATTAAGCACTTGAATTCCTTGTGCCTTTCAAAGGGACTGTTTATTAGAGCAACTTTTATTAGGGAATGAACTTGAAGCACAGTTCAACAACTATTGCTCTTGATTGCAGGCTCCTAAATGCAGCTTGGTCTTAGAGCCTTCATTTTCCCATGGCTTGTTTTGCAGGCTTTTTTCCTTCTTCAAATGGCATAATGTGTGTGGAATACTCTTACAGATCTGGATTACAGAGCATCCACTACAATTACTGAACCTGGAATTGCTGAGTGACACCCCAGAAAAATTTTACCTTCCCAGTACTAAGGCAGCAGAGACTATGCACAGGGTCCCAGTAAAGTAGGTCAATTTTAATAACCATTTCTGCTTTGTGTTCATTCAGCATATTCTACAGACCAAGCCCATTTTGCTCCATTCAACTCCTAACATTCATTAGAACTCTCTAAGGGAATTAATAGTCTCTGCCATAGTTTTTCATGCCATCAGCCCTGTGTTTTATTTCACAGCATTCTTACCCACACAGTTTTTACCTCTGGCTCACCTCTACTGAATCAGGTCTTCAGCATGAGCCCAAAAGCAATGGACAGAGCTTATGAGTCTGACTATAGTTTCCAAGAGCAATTCACATTTGCTTGTTGCCTTTAGATAAAGACTCTGTACATGCAGCTCAAGTCAGAGTAGGACAAGGTGGGACACTGGTTATGTGTGATTTTTAAAGGACAACGCTGTTCTCAAAGGTGCTGCTCCCCTGAATAAAGGCACCCCAACCTACCTCCTGAGAGCTGCTGCCAGGACAAACAAACTTCAGATACCCACTTCCTCTTTACCCTCCCATGAGCCTCCCATCATCCCAGGCAGGGGCAACACAGCCTCCTGCAGCTGCACTTTCTGCATTTTAAGGAGAGGGGTTAACAGCACCTAACCTGCCTTGTCTCCTGTGCACATCTGCAGCTCCCTGCACATCTTCCCTGCAGGACCTACTCCAAATGCTGAATTTAGAAAACTTGAGTAGGGGGGGAAAAAAGTAAGCTTGGAGATTATGCTATGCTGCTCCTTATTCCCTTCTGCACATGAAACCTGGTCCAGGTAGAGCTGCCTCTTTCCTGTATTGTTCCTCACTCCCCTCTCCCACCCCTTCAGGCCACAGTTTAGTCACCTTGGGTAATTCTGGCAAATACACATATCTTACAGCCCTGAAGCCATTTATAAATAGATTTTTATTTATAAAGTCAATTTACATAAAATATGATACTCTTCTTAAAAACTGCATATGTACAACATAAGAAATCCTAGCAAGTGCATACAAAAAATGCCTTCAATACATTTTTTTTTTGAAACTTCAGTTTTCAGAGAGGTGGACCTTCACACTAGGCAAACTCAGACACCACGTTAAAACACAACATAACTTTACAGTCTTTTACCAAAGTGTTTGGAGAGAATAATTAAAAAAAAAACCAAACAAACATCTTTGCATCTAAAACGTGTATGTTCCCAAAACATTCCAGCTTGTAGTGTTCAAGAACGAGTAGATAGGACCCGCTAAAAATAGAACCATCTCATCCCTTTTTTCTAAGGTTTCTTGTACAAAAATAAGTCTTCATACACCAGTGTCCCTTTAGGCAGTTCAAGTTACACATAAAATAGAATCTGACATGATAAAAAATTCCCTCCCCCTCCAGAAACAAGGAAGCATCAAGTGTTTCTAATTTTTTTTTTTTTTCTTTTCCTCCAAAGCAACACGAGCCAGCAGCGGCGGGGGAAAGCAGGTTCACTCGGGCATCCTCTCCGTGGGCCGGCAGCTCCCGGCGGGCAGACGGAGCCGCTGTCCCCGCGCAAGGAGCGGAACCCCGCAGTCCCATTGCACTTTCCACAGCCAGAAGACGACGGCTGAACCGGCGAGAGAAGCAGCCAGCGGGGCCACGCCGAGGCGGAGATCAGTACTTTCGGGGGGATGCTGCCACGCCGAGACCGCGGGCGCCGATGTGCTGCGGGCTGAGCGCGGCTGCGGAGAGACGTGAGGAACCCGGTGGGTTCGTGCCCCGCTCCCCCGAGCGCCGGGGGAGGAAGCGGTGCCCCCTCCCTCCGGCCGCCCCTCACCTCCCGCCGTGTCAGTAGCTCCCCAGCCAGCTGGTGAAGTCCAGCAGCTCCCGCTCCTCGGGGCTGAGCGCCGCGTCGTAGCCGCTCTCCTCGGAGGAGCACGGCGAGCCGGGCGCGGAGGAGGCGAAGGAGGGAGAAGCGGAGGAGTAGCCGCCGCCGCCGCCGCCAACTTCCCCGACGGCCACCCGCCCGCGACCGTCGGGGAAAGAGGCGGCGGCGTCGTGCTCGTCGAGGAGCCGCTGCAGGGCGCGGATGTACTCGACGGCGGAGCGGAGGGTCTCCACCTTGCTCATCTTCTTGCTGGCGGCGCCGTGGGGGACGTGCTGGCGGAGGGCGGCGAAGCCCAGGTTGACGAGCCGCACGCGGTTGCGCTCCCGCTCGTTCCGCCGGGCCACGGCGGCCGCCGCCGCCGCCCCGGTGCCCGGCAGGGCGGCGAAGGCCAGGCGGCGCTTGCAGCGCAGCAGCTCGGGGGAGGCGGGCCGCCGGCGGCCGCGGGGCGCGGCGGGGGGCAGCGGCGGCAGAGCCCCGCCGTTCATCGCCGGGCGGCCACGGTGGCGGCGGGCAGGAAAAAAAAACAAAACAAACCAACAAA